AACGGCTGTGAAGTTTAATGTGTATCTTGGAAATTCCTTTGCAGTAGCATATAATAATTTGAACAAGGTTTATAAAAACAAAAGTCTTGCCAGAAGTTCAATCATTAATTGGATTGATTGTTTTAATGAAGGAAGGGAGATGGTTAAAAATTATGTTTATTCTGTTGCCCCGTGAAAGCAAGCTGGGGAAGAGGTGTGTCCTTAGTTGAGCAATTTGTTACGAAAACGCGTTAAATCACTCTTAGAAAAATAGTTAAATATCTTAACAATAATATAGTTATTAAATCCTTAAAATATCGTTTACTTTAGACTTTAAATATATAAGATGTGATAGAGGGAAGGCGCCCGTACTTTATTTACACTGGAAAAACGACGCTCCCAAGACAGAGGACTCGGATTGTGATGGTCACCATGCTCATTCTAGGAAAGAATTTCCTTATCCATCCAACCTATTGCCGAGGTTTGGCCATTTCTGACAAATGGACTGTTATTGTTGTAAAAAAATAACTTGTACGGTAACAATCTGATTAAAATCAGATCTTTGTTACGCTCCGAAATTCTGATGGTCGCTTTGTACAGCGACCATCAGAATTTCGGAGCGTAACAATTAAAGATCTGATTTTAATCAGATTAGTACGGTAAGAAATATAAGACTCGGAAAAACACTCTGCTCAACGCGTTATCGGCTATTCGGTTGTTATCGGGCATTCGGTGCAAGGAAAGCAAAGTTTAGAAAACATAGGTGATTTTAAAATTCTTAATACAACGATAATTGCGTACTTCAGCAAACAAAGTTTGTGATCTTAGGCAGATAAATGATTATACTTTCAGCAGCAAAAAGAACAAACCAAATCACTCTCTTTCTAAAGATAAACAGCTTTTTCAAATGATATTTTATTAAAATTTCGGAATATTTCATCACCTTTTAGCTTTTGTAGAAGTCAAAATCAGATTATTCTATAAAACAAAACGGTTTATTTATTCTATGGACAATCATATACCTGAAGATAAGCAGACTGAGATCAAAAATCCAAATGAAGGGTTAGTTAACAGGCATCTAAAATGTCTCGTTAGGTTAAAACATGTTATCGTCAACAAGGTTGATGTTGCCGGATAATTCGGTTTTTACGGGTGTGCGTTATCGGAAACTCCGGTTAAAAAGTTTCTTTCAGCTTTAGAAATAGATTGGGGAAAAAAGTAATTTATAATCCGTCAATCCTTGAAAATAGCAGACGTAATGTGTTTTAAGGATATGCAATCCTCAGCCATGAAGGACAACTCTTAAAATTATTATTTAATTTAAAAAGTCTCAACATGAAGCTTGAAATTGAAAACTATTCATGCAACAATTTCCATTTTATGCATCTTAATATGACTTGAGGTTTTTGAAGTCTTAGAAAGGGTCTTGTAAAAAGTTAACATTTGTTCCTTATACAAATAAAAAATAAATACAGTTTTTAGATGCATAGGATTTTCTTGAGTTTAACCTTAAACACCAATGCCTTTTAGCATAATATGAAATTGGAAGTGATTTGTGATGTCTTGCAATGATAGCACAAGCTTTTTTACGCTATGTATTATATAAATTTTGGAAGTAAATAGAAGACCTATACATCTATACATGTAAAACCAAAAAAAGTATTTTTTAAAAAACATGCAAATTTCCCTAAATGCCTGGATACCTATGATTTTTTAACTTAAAATATATTTGTTGATCAGTTTTCAATTAGAAAATGCATAGTTGATGTTTCTATTCGTCTTCTGAATATATTGGAGATTTGATTATTTTCCCTATGTAATTTGATAAACTATAATGATTAACTTTGAAGAAATACAGTGCATGGGTAAATATACATTAATCTGTGAATTCAGAGATATATTTGTGAGCATTTTCAATTACATAACTGCCGAGGATCGGACTACCTTAAGTAATTTTTTTTTTAAATTTTCCAGCTTTCCATTGTTATCTTGTTTTGATATTCGTACATGTACTAGTCTATAAATAAGAATAAATATTATAATTATGATTTTATAATTTAACTCCGAATCTGTTCAATCATTTTTCTGTTCTCCATTAAACATTATATATATGACATGTATATAACAAATCTATAGTTGCTTTAGTTAGTCACGTCTTCCGATCTAATATTAGTATGTCATTTTTGAAAAAACATCGTCACTTCAAGTGCCCAAATGAGCCTAGAAGGCTAAATGTTTTTATGTCCAATATAGAGCAATAACATTGTTTGTGTCAAACCATTTGATTTTAAGGTTTAAAATAGAGGAAATAAAATGAGGTGCATATCGCAAAGAAATATTTCTTTATAAATTAAATAAAAAAACCCGTTAAATTTCCCAAACGTGAAAAACACTTGGGGGGGGGGGGGAGGCTGGTCGATTCACTTCACTTCTTCATATGTTTAACTTTTTCTACAAACAGTGATCTGCTTTTCAATGAAGGGGGGGGGGGGAGAGATGCCAAGGGTTTTTTTTTATTTGCTTGAGTATAAAAATTCAATAACTCTGCAAATTCCAGGTGAGGTTCGAACCTCCCTGACCCCCCCCCCCCTTCCAGCTCCAGGCATGAGCTCCACCTACACATTGAATTATCTACGGGTTTTCCATTTGGCCGATAATGATACAGAACACTAAGGGTGTGACCGATCGACAGGGGGTGTTTATTCCTTCTTGGCCACTAAACCAACCTCTGATGTTTTTAGAGGTCCGTGTTTTCTCTGTTCCAAATTTATTTGTTTCAATAGACTTTTGGGCTTTATTACTGTTTTTTATCTTCATAATTTCCTTCCGTCAGTAACGCTTTTTGAAAACTAGTAAAGTCAATCTCTTTTTTCCCCTCAAAAGTTAGAATTCTAGGTCATATTTGGCTTAACACCCTATTGGGAAATTCATTAAACCACCCTTGAGTTTAGATTCTTTAATTGCTTGATACCGAACTAAAACATGTATGTACTTAGTACTAACAAAAGGATGTTTAGGGTAGATCAAAAATGCAAAGTCAACGAATAAAGACGAAGCAAGCAAAACAGAGACAAAAGCGAAGAACAGTCGTAACTGTGAAAGGCAATCACAGAAAACTAAGAATAAATTACTGTGAATTCAGCAATTATTGCGAGTCTTTTATATTGCGAATAATGCAATGTAATAATCGCAATAATTAAATATGGAATCTGTATTTTGGTTACAATAGAGATTTATAATTCAGAGGTTTTAAAACTTATACCATATTTTCGAACATGTCAAGATCATATACATTTCAGTGATTATGAGAAATGCCAGAAACACTCTTTTTTTTTTTTTTTTTTTTTGAAGTTAAGTATTCTAAAAAGAGACAAATGATAGCCAAAAATTCGAATTGTGTGCCTGCCATTTTAAATATTTATATTTAATGAAGTTTTCTGTTGTTTCTTTACATTTTCCTAACCTATGACAACCTTTGTTTCCGATAACAAAAACTGAAATTTCCGATGACAAAGTGAACCATTCAACCGTATTTCCGAAAACATCCTAAAAGTTAAAAAATGGGAATTTTTACCCTTTAGTTGCATCTTTGCGAGATTCTGACGATGTCACATTGTGGACAATAACTAATGTTAGGTAAACATAAGGATTTTGATGAAAGAGGCTATATGCAGCAATGCCAATCGGACAAAAACTTGCAAAATATAATAAATTTGACTTTTAAAGTCTTCTCAAGACTCACAAATACTATAATAAGACATATTATTGGGGCTTTATTTTTGTATCTGTATTCATTCTTGTTCACAAAAAGCACAATCAACATTCTCTGTTTCTATTATTACAATGTTTATTTGCAACAATTTACTAACCTGTCAAAAGTTGTTATCCACCGAATGCCCGATAACAACCGAATAGCCGATAACGCGTTGAGCAGTGTGAAAAATATTTTAGCTTCTGTGAACAGAACGCTTCGGAGCATGTCACGTGACCGCCTGTATCACGTGATTCACGCATGGGCAAAACGGTGGCAGATGCACATTTAAGAACCCTCTATATACTGCACACTAGAGAGTTCTGATTCTGTGGTATTTTTATGAAGTTAGAGTAATCTGCCCTTAGATCTAAAATGAAATAAATTTAAATCTACAGTTTATCAATCAATTTCTAATCAATTCAAGCATTCTTAACATTTTGATAGGCCATGATAAATTAATTGAACATCTCATCTGCATGCTTTTTCCCAACTTAGGTAAACAACAGTGATTTCTGTTCATCAAAACTTTGTTGACTTTGAACATTTCTCCTGGGGGTAAAAGCCAGGCACCCAATGTTGAAAATGATATAAATAAGCTCAATATATACACCTTTATACAATATAATTTTCTCAATGTCCAAAAAACATTTTCGTTTAGTGTAGAGAGGGTCCTTAAATAAGAGAGGACTAATTTAAAAATTAATGAACACTAAAATCTAATTTCACTTCTTTTATGGAAGTTATTCAATTAGTTCGCGAACTTTTTGATCATCCCTCGTATCTTTCATGCCTCTCTGGGGGCCCTTGATTGGAAATAAATATTGTCTATTATAGAATGGGTTCAGACACCATTTTTTGAAACATGAAATAGATTTTACATTTACTTTTCCGTCATTTAAACCTCAATGAAGAATGGAGACTGGACCCATTCGTTTTCAAAAATCCTTTTTATGACTCTAATAAAGCCATTTTCCACTAAATATGCCTTTACTATAGCTGTCAACTTCAATAACAAAAATAATTGAATCAAATGCGTTGAAGATGACATTACTGAAAACATTATTTTCGAAAAAATATAACTTTCCCGTAAACTTTGAAAATTGAGAAATATATATTTCTCAGAGCGGGGGATTGTCCTCGCCATGTACACCCTCTTTAAAGTTCGATCGAAGACAATCTCAACTATGTACGAGCTAGTTAATTTATTAATCTGGTAGTCCGCCCTTTCATCGCGACCATGAACCAGTAAAAATGTAACTATGCCACTGTTTACAAATGGCGCGCTCCTGGGGTATTTAAGATAACTAAAATTGATGCATGTCATCACGCTAAAATGGGATCTGGTTCGAGTCGATCAAGTCAGGTGCACTCTTTTCAAGTGGAACAAGGCAATAAGGAGGACGATGATGTTCGGTAAGTCCTCTTTCATAGAGAATGTGATAGGATTTTGTCATGTGCATGCACTGTGCAGTGCCGCTAAATAAGAGGATTACAATGTTACTGGATTAACCCTATCCTTTACCTGGCTTTCAGAAGTATACAATTAGAAATTCTTATGGTAGATGTAGATTTAAATAACATCGTACCTTTTGCCGATGTAATCTTACTGTGTCTCGATACAACCCCTCACAGGGATAGACATTAACTTTCAGATTCACTTGCACTTTTGGGCAAGAGATCTCAAACTTTGACTTGTCCGAATGCAAAACTTGGTTGCCCAAAATTAGGAAAGAACTTAATAAGAAAAAAATTAATTTCTGTAAACGTTATGATAAGAAAAAATGTGATATCAAATATCAGTATTTATTACATTTTCAACAGTGAAATACTGTGATTTATTTATTGAATAAAAGTGATATTCTCTCACAGTGTGAAAGGATATCAAAATGATATTCTCTCACAGTGTGAAAGGATGTCAAAGTAAGTAAAAAAATAATTTCTGGCCTGTCATAAGATAGAGCTAAAACTGCAAATTTCTTCCCCAATATATTGCTGAAATCCATGCTATGTAATGTTTTCAATCTCACAACTGCTAAGCTATGACGTCTCAACTGCTCAACTATGACGTCAAACCTAGCTATTACACTGTGTTAAGAAAAGACAGAGGCAAAGGGAAAATCAAAGAAAATGTAATAAACAGAAAATTCAATGTTTTGTAGATGAATATGGAATTTATTTCACTCGTGAGACAGGATTTTTTGATATTTTCTCTCGTGCTTCGCACTCATGAAAATATCAAAAAATCCTGTCCCACTCGTGAAATAAATTCCATATTCATCTACAAAACATTGAATATCCTCTATATATACCAGTCAGTGAAAAAAAAATGATGCTGCATTTGTACATAAATGTATACAACTGTACTTGTAAATTTAACCTTCTAACACACACTGCCATGCAGCAATAGCCATTTCCTTTTAATTTCCTTATAATAAAATTCATATTTTTGAAAAATTATTTTCAGTAGGATCCTTTTGTGAATCGTGATTTTCAGAGATAATTGTGAGGCAACGCTAAAGGAAGATAGTTGCTATGAAACACATCTTATCTTGATCAGGATACATTGTGTTACACTGTACATATATTCTGTGAATAAATAATCTAATTTCCTAATAAGAAGTTAACAAAATTTTGTTAGACGTAGAGCATATTTACTACGAAGGAAAATAACGAACCCGATTTTAAAATGAATGGTATAATCCAGAAACGCTACCTAGGAAACATTGTCAATCAGGTGCGTGGCGGAAATCAAGTGTTCAATTTATTGTTTTTTTATAAATTAATGTAAACTAAATAAATATGTGCATTTGTATAAAAAAAATCACTTGCCCGATCGGACAAGTACGTCGACAATTTCACTTGCCTGAACTGAGAATTTACTTGTCCCCGGGCAATTGGACAACCATTAATGTCGATCCCTGCCTCACCACAGAAGAAGTAGGTATGGTTTTGGCTTTATTGTGCCCTGAAAATTTGGTGTTTTCAAAAGATTTGAAATTAACTATGAGTTCAGTATATGAGGGTGATGAATCATGAAAGAATATGGCATAAAGGAGGACCATTTTGGAAATAAGACATCATTGATTCTGTATATTTCTAAGTTTAAAAAGAAAAGACCTCAAAATGATTCATTTCAGGGGATATTTTCCACAGCCACCGCCCACTTCAATATTCGAATATGTTGTGTAAAATTCTTTGAAAAATCACTTTCTCAAAGTCTTTGTGGGTGAGGCATATGGTCTATATTATCTGAAAAATATTCCACTGAAAATTGATGTCTTCTGCAACTTTTTAGGAAATTAGGAAAATGCACAAGTTTATGATGGCACAATTAGCATTTCGGAGGTCATATGAGAAAAACAATTTGTTTGATCATAGTGCATGGACTTTCAACAAATCAGAAAGCATGGATTTTAACTTTTTACTTCACTTTGATATTTTAGAAAGTACATTGCCAGATTTGTATAAATAGCATACCTAGTTTTTTACATGCCATGTTGACATTCAAAACTCTAGATTTTTCATGGTATATGCACTAAGTTCGAGTTAGGAACACTATTTTGTTAAATCATACAACTTTCTGCTGTTGCACAGAAGTTTTAGTTCGCATCTGTTGATGCATGTGCATATCTCAGTACACACCCCCACACACACATATTATAAATATATACACATATATTAATCACGTTTTAGGCCAAAAACTGGAAGGGAAACAAAACGAGTTTGCTCTCTCTCAGCTCAGCACCGTCCATCTGTCCAGATAAAGAGAAGCCAGTCTATGAGCAGTACAGTCTCACCAAGAGTGGCACCATCTATACATAAACAAAAATCGGAGGAGGTCAGTAGGTCAAAAGATTACATTAAGATAAAGATGTTCATTAAAATCATTTCTGTTATCTTTGATGTGATTCAAAAACCGGATTAACAACCACATAATATAAGAATTTATAACATTTAACAACTATCTGTGAAAAATAAGCTCAGAAATATTACTTGATCAGTTGTTGAAATAAATATTTGCGCTGATGTGTGGAATAGGTAAGTTTAATTAGTTTTGTTCATTCTATCTGTTATTCAAAATGTGTACCGTGAATCACTTTTTATTTGCAAGAACTTTATTTTGTGTAATTACATGAGACTGTCTGCATGCAAAAATTTCATTCTCACGTATTATTTTATCAGCATAGCTTATATGACTGAAATTCTGCAAAGTGTTTTGCCAAGTGCTGTGAACTTTGATGATGAAAGGACTTCCTTACTGAAATTAAAGTGTTCACTTGTCAGTATTGTGTATGCACTGAGGAAGTTACAACTTTAATCTTAGGTATATTGTTTTTCTTTAACAAGGAGACTACAAGTGATGTCAAAGTTAATATTGATGATAAAGAAAGACAGCTATTTGAAGCTCAAGAAAAGATGACAGTTTTACAAAAACAGGTAAGTTTAAGACTTTATCATCTATAGTTTATTAATGAACACACATTGTTTCAACAAAAAGATTACACACAGATAATTTAGAGATTGGAAAGGGCTTGTGCCATAGTCATATTGAAATGAAAAAATGATGCATTAAATCAACCGTTGGCACGCCAAGGTGCACATTCAATTTTTAGCAATGTTTGTGGGAAATATTTTGCACTTATCTTTTGTAATTGTTTTACTTTTATTTTAAATGCAGTCATTTCAATGCAACAAATCTCAATGGTTAAAACCAGTCAAAAACTACTTCCTGTTATAATATGAAGCACTTATTATTGTCTGATAATATGAGTGCCAGGCAGGTTAAGGATCATTTTTTCCATGGTGCAAAACTAAGGATTGACAGCTAGCCAGCTAAATTTTTAGCAAGCTGATTTATATTGGAATTTGTTACTTTTTTTTAAACAACAGTTGGCAGAAGAAACAATCATATTATTTTAGCAAAATATTGATGTGTTAACTTTCTTTTTTTTTTTTTTTTGTTGCATGCAACTGTTTAATCCATTGCGATTCCCCGTGCAGACATGTCCATGTAACCTTTTATATGCATACTAGTGGATCAGTCCATTTGTCTTCATTCACACCAAATGTCTTTGCACCTTTTCCTTGGAATGTTCTGTTGGATTGGTGTTATAGCATCCATGGGAATGTTCTGTTGGATTGGTGTTATAGCATCCATGGGAATGTTCTGTTGGATTGGTGTTATAGCATCCATGGAACTAAATAAAGTTTGTTCTTTTAACAAGATTCTTGTGCTTTAAAATTTTTATTTTTCTCATTTTTAAAAAAAAATAATTACATATTGTATATGGGCAATTAAAAAATTTTCCTTTATATTTCATTTAGGGCTGGGATGATTCAGGGTTCAATCAATTTGGTTCAGTTTTGGTTCAGAATGATACAGTTCATTTTTATTTTTTGATTTGATTTGATTTAGCTTAAAATGTCTAAATATTTCTCATCATAAATAAAAAAAAAATAATCTCTGCTTTATAAACTCCTTTACTTAAGGATAACAACCATAAAATTCATTAAAAAGTAAAACATTGTAAAATGTGTTTGTAGAATAAAAGAAACCTAAATCACTATTATGCCAGTTTGAAGTCAGTGATTAAGTTTTTTTGTTTATATGTGTTATGTAAATTTGGAACCAAATCGAACAGAATGCCAGATTGGTGCACCAAATTGAACAGTATGAACTGTGATGCACCAAAGTTTTTGGTGCACCTCACAACCCTAATTTTATTTCCCAGTTTATCCCATAAGTGGACTAGTCCAGCTAGTTTTAACTATCATAAACAAAATGCCATTCAACAACTAATGTTGGGAACAAAGATAGTCTGAAGTCACATCACATGCTTTATAAAAATTTAAAATAATTAAAATGGAACAGAGAAAAATTCTTAATAGGAAGAATTGGCCAAATGTACACGATAATTCTGATACTCTCTCCCATTCATGTGTCTTTACACTTATGCAGTGGTGATGCATGTGCCAGATTAGAGGCCAGAAAATAAGGATTAAATAAATACCGTTTATTGTGAGCAGTTGGAAATCAATACAGCCATATGGAATACAGAATAGACAGTATCCAGACTTCACAAAATTTTTTATACTACATTTGTTAAAGAAGTGCATCAGACTAAAATCTAAGGCCAAAATGGACAAATTCTGGAGTACTCAAAATCCAAATTAGAAAATTATGCTGTATATTTGTTAACAATATTTTACCCTGTCATATGGTGAACTTTGGTTTAACAGATTTTTTAGTTTACATCAAATTAATCACTACAATTTATTTCAGCTCACAGAGACAGAGAGCCAGAACTTGGACCTCCAGGAGAGGGTGGAGGTTTTGGAGGAGCGCCTCGAGTACCTCAACTCATGTCATCAGATTCAGGAAGAACCAGAGGGCTACCAGGAAACAATCAAAGCCAAGAACCAGTTTATAGAAAAACTGGAGAAAGAACAGAAACAACAAACACAGGAGTTTAATAAGACTGTGAGTGAGTTAGATAGAGGAGGTCATTTTATCTTTAATAAGACTGAGTGAGTTAGATAGAGGAGGTCATTTAAAATGTCTTTAATAAGACTGTGAGCGAGTTAGATAGAGGAGGTCATTTTGTCTTTAATAAGACTGTGAGTGAGTTAGATAGAGGAGGTCATTTTGTCTTTAATAAGACTGAGTGAGTTAGATAGAGGAGGTCATTTAAAATGTCTTTAATAAGACTGTGAGCGAGTTAGATAGAGGAGGTCATTTTGTCTTTAATAAGACTGTGAGTGAGTTAGATAGAGGAGGTCATTTTGTCTTTAATAAGACTGTGAGCGAGTTAGATAGAGGAGGTCATTTTGTCTTTAATAAGACTGAGTGAGTTCCAGGTCATTTTGTCCTTAATAAGACTGTGAGCGAGTTAGATAGAGTTAGATAGAGGAGGTCATTTTGTCTTTTCTGCAGATTTAAATGTTTATTTACTGTATAATAATTCAATGTTCTGAAAACGCATCAAATCACCATATAGACTTTATTTAGGTTGACATCAAATTCAGGTATGGTAATGTCTTACCATGACTTAATATGAATTGTCATTTAAAAATGTTTTAAACTTCAACAAATAAAATTGTGGTGGGCTATAAAGCTACCAGATGAATTTTCATATAAGAACTAATATGAATTAAATGTCTTGAGAATATGTTTAATTGATTTGGACTTGTGGATAATGAAAATCACTGTCTTAAATTTCTGGAAGGACATTTTAGTACGAAAAAATATTGACCTTGATTGCAAAAATATTGCCCTCGATTCCATACCTTGAGTACAGAAATTATTTTTCAAAAGTTAATTGTTTTTTAAATTAGTTAAGATATAATTTCTGACCCCATAACATGTATATATAGATGTCAAATGTTTAAGATAAAAGAGTAGGTTATTCTTAATACAACAACATGATTATAATTTAGAATCTTTACATTATACATGTACATTTATTGACTGGGTTTGAGGGCAACATGCGTTTTGTCAAACCCAAGAACGAAACTGTTTGCCTGAGACTGTTAGGCCAAAGGCAAACAGTTTGGTTTGAGGGGTCGACAGAACACATTTTGCCTGAGGATACAGTCAATAAATGTTTTGTTAAACCTTTTATTTCTTATTTATTTTTTGTCATACATGTATCTTTTGCTGGCTTTCATACCAACGAATGCAATGAAGATTTTGCTGATCCCGCTCACAGTGTGATGTAAGCTGTCCGATATCTAGTCCACGGGTCCAATATCTCACTCTGCGGTTAAACATTGATTTTTTTATGACCACTCAGTAAAACATAAGAAAGATTAGTCTTTTTAAAGTATAGATTTATATAGGAACTAATTCTTAAAGGTGTAACAATTTCAAATATCTTTGACCGAGATGAAACTACAAAGCAGGGCCTGTGGAAATTTCTTATTATTGAATAATTTTTTTTTATTGAATCATAGATCAGGTGAGAATGAAAAATATAAGGAAAAACTGTCTGGTCTTTTTGTTTTATGATGATGATCAAGCAGTTTGCTTGCATGATGTTTTTATGCATAAATGCATTTGGCTTTTATGCAAATTATCACAAGAGCAAACGGATTGATCACATCATAAAACAAAAAATGAGACAGTTATTCCTTAAAGCATTCTCATGAAATGTACATTCAAGCTTACAGTAAACCAACTTTTTTTCGCATGCGAGAAATATCTGTGAATTTTGCGACCTACTTTAACTCGCGAATATTAATCGCTGCGAACCATTTATTATGCTTTGTATTTGTAGAGAATGTTTCTTCAATCGCAAAAATAAATCATCGCGGATTGATTTCAAACTGAAGAATCGTGAATAAAAGATGGCAGGAATAATAGTTGGTTTACAGTATTTAAACTAAGATCTCTTGGACCAGGAAAAGTTGATGGTTGGAAGCCCTTTACTAGTATAGAGATTTAAAAAAAAAAAATCTTATAAAATGTTTTCAAGAATATGAAGACAACAAATATACCCTGGTAATAGGGCTGTATCAATATATCGATATAATATATCAATACATCGAAAAAATAACTTCCAATACATATCGGATAGGCAGATTTTCTTAATTCTTTGAAAAAGTTGGGAATTTCAATCATCAAAGGTTATTTTTACACTTTATTGAATAAAAATTGATAAATAATGATATAATCATCAAGGAGATAGCACATCTTAGATAAATATTACAAAATACATAAACAACTTTATTTTAACTTGTTGCTTTTTCAGACGTTAAAAGTTTGAAGTGTAATTTGTAATGACAGTGAGACAAGAACTTTGAAATGGGTTATAAAACAATTAGCTTATATAAAATTCATGCATTAAATGATTTAAAAGACTTTTTTGATAGACATGTTAAAGAATCCAATATATCCCATATCGCATTATAAAATATTGTATCGTATCGTATCGAGTTGTTTTGCTCAATACACAGCCCTACCTGTTAAATGTAGTGGATATATTTTTCTTCAAAACATGGTTTGAGGGTTTGTTGGGGCTATGAGGCCATACTGTGGATGCAAAGTTTTATCAAGATAGATGCAGGAAAAAAACAAACAAGAGTTAATTCTAAGTTATAAAAGGCTACAGTTAGACAACTTAATATTTGTTATAAAGTGTACTTTATTATTTGAAATGTTACAAAATTATTCAAGTGTTTTAATTTTTATCTGACAATGGTAGCTTTTCTGGCTAGTCCAACAAAATTTTTTCTTACATGGTACACTTGTCCTACAGATTTTTAACTCTTTTAAGCACCCTTGATAATGAGAAGTTTTATATTTATTTGATTCTCCCAGTATAAATTGCAGAAAATGAATTGTTTACAAAACATAGTGTTATTACACCACAACAAATAAACCATTTGTTGAAGCAACTGAATTTATTTTGAGTTATTCCCCTTTTAAAGGAAAAATCTTGATCTACACAACCAACAAAAAGTTTAATTATGTTTTGTATTTTACTTGTAGAAAATTCGCTACAAGAAGAGAATAAAAGCTTTGACCACACAACTGAATGAAGCCAAACAGGAGACTTCCATACAATTGTTTGAACTTAAAGATGAAATCACCAGACTACAGGAGAAAAACAAAGAGTTGGAAGGTGTGTAAAAGAAGATATGACTTCTAATTATATTTACTTGCAGTCTTGTTGACCTTAATTAAATTCATGCCTGTCTGCAAAAGTATGTACACTCTGTCACCCTTTCAAGTTCAATTCTAGGATTGATTTGGGCAGCTGCATAGGGGCTCCATGTTCAATAATTAATCATCCTTTATGTTGATCTTTTTTTCTTTTCTATTAGACTCACTTGAAAGAGCTGGACCACAAGGAAAGACTAACACACCTGATGTGGGCAAAATGCAAATTGTGTTGGAACTGTCCAATCAAATCTCAGAACAGACAGACGAAATCTCAAGACTAAAGAAAGAAGTGAAAGTGAAGGAATCAATAATTGACCGTCTTGGTGGAACCAAAAATTTGGAGGAAGAATATAGTAAGGACAAAGAGGACATGAAAAATCTGAAAAAGTTATCACAAGGACTGAATCAGTTACATAGTGAGAGTGAAGGTCTCAGGGATTCTGAGGAGGATGATAGAGGTGTGTCTGGTGCTAGCCGAGACTCAGGGCTGGGGTCTGCTGGTAAAAACAAGGACAGGCGGAAAGACAAGTCAGGTATCCCTGTACTATCAGATTCAGACTGGGAGTCAGATGACCTTCCAGATGAACTTGGTCCCTGCAAAATAAAAAGTGCTCCCCCAGAGACTCAGGCCTTGAGAGCTGCCTCAAGATTGGCCGCCATGGAGGGTAATGACACAGGATATCCCACCCGACAGGCATCAAGAGAAAGCAACGATTCCAGGCTTCCATCGCGCTTAGCCTCAAGGGAAAGCATTGGTTCAAGACTGCCCTCTAGATTAGCCTCCAGAGAGAGCCAGTTCAGTAGTAAGACTTTAATGGAAAATGATGAGGATCAAATATCTGTTGATGATATGACGTCTTATAAAGGGTCACATAAAATGAGGAAGAAATCCTCGTTTACATCTAAAATCAGACGGGAACATGATACATCCCTAAGAACACCCATCCCGAGTGTAGCATTTGAGGAGGAAAAAAATATTAATGATATTCCAATGTATCCCAGTAGCTCCAGTAAGAGGTATTCCAGAAAGAAGAAGAGCTCCTTCTTCTTGACTCAGACAGGAAATTCTCCTGCAGGAAGTGACATCAGTGAGCAGATATCTGTAGGTTGAGACCTTGATGTTTACAGATATCTGTAGGTTGAGACCTTGATGTTTACAGATATCTGTAGGATGGGACCTTAGTGTTTATGGATATCTTAAGGATGAGACCTTGAAGTTTACAAATGTCTGTTGGATGAAACTTTGGTGTTAACAACTTTAACCTAAAAAGCTGATGAATAAAAGGGCCCTTGTTAAACTTTATCTTATATTAATCTTTCTTAATAAGAATTGATTTACCAAAGAAACTTTGTCAATATGAAAAGTATACTGGGTAACAATTATTATTTCAGGTTCTTTCTTGCAAAAATGTCAATTCTAGTCAATATTCTATTTCAATTCTGACAGCCAAAGTAATATCCAATACAGTTTTTCTATTCATTAAAATTACTGAGTAATGAGGGATTGATATCGCCCTGGCAAAATACATGTAACTACAATTAAAAGTGTGTCAACTTATCTATATCAAAGTGGAATATACAAGCAAGTTTTTATTTCAAGTAACAGTATTTCTATTTATTGATCTCGTATAATGCATAATTCTTTTTTTTATTAACATTTAGCTCTATACATATACTTTAAAAGAGAGCTTGTATATTTTAGCCATTTCATTTTTTTTAAGAATAAGAGACTATTCAATGAGCTGAAAGCTCTGAAGTGTAATGATTATCTCTCTTTCTAGTAAATACTGTTGGAATATGTTATGTAAAAATAGAAAATCTTCATCAAGAGGCTAATTTTGTTAATTCAAAGTATTTTTTATTCACTTTTTGGTAAAGGGGGGTGGGTGGGTTAACAGAAATGTAGTACTTTGCATTTTGAAGCATGCTTTGTTGAAGACTTTAACAGCATGAAGTGTGTGAAGATATGTGTCTTAGGATATTATTGAAGACATATTTATACTATTGTTTTTGTTTACGGAATTTCGTTGTTTTGATAATAAATTATTGTGTCATATTCCCTGAGATAACATTTACTCATGTGTATCTTTGTGGCGTAATTACACAAATCTTGAAACCAATGGTACAACTATCCATGTTGGACATCTTTTACAGGATAATATCTAGGCATTTGGTGTCAGAGTTTTAATATAGCCTTTATCTAACATTATAAAGGGGTTATGTGTTGGATTTTTTGTTTGTGATGAAAGAAATGTACCTGTCAGAAAAAAAGCAATCATTATAGTGTTACGTAGGAGAGAAACAAGGAAAGCAGATGCTTTAGTTGACCGACAGAGAAAAGTGCTCACATAATTCTATTTTTAGGTCACCTGAGTGACTCAGGTGACCTTTTGCTATCTGTTTTCGTCCGTCATCGTGCGTTGTGCGTCATCCATTAACATTGAACATTTTCAGTTTCTTCTCTGGAACCACTAAACCAATTCCAACCAATTTTGGCATGCAGCATATATGAGTGAAGGGGAACAAAATTTATGAATTTCATGGTCCCTGCCCCCCTGGGGCCTGAGGGGTGGGGATAAAACCATCAAAATTAGTGCTATTTTTAGGTCACCTGAGTCACCTGAGTGCTGGCACGGTGCGCCAGAGGCCCTGGGTTCGATTCCCCGTTGAGACTTCATTTTTCACCGCCTGTGACAATTGTGATGAGAATTAAGCCCTCTACCAAAATGATGAAATTCAAGGCCCCAGGGTAAGGGGTTCTATAGTTAGGGTGGTGCTCTCGTTATCATATAGTGAAAATGCATAAAGTCTTTTAAAATCTTCTCTCCTCCTGTATATAAAGCAGATAAACTAGGTGCATGTTCATGATAATTAAGGTTGCCTCTTCCAAAATTGTGAAATTTGTGGTCTAAGGGTCAGGGTTCTGCAGGAGGGGGTTGGGGGCTCTTGATTATAGTGAAAGTGCATTATTTCTTTGAAAATCTTTTTCCTCTGCTTCTGCCTATCAAAGAAACAAACCAGGTATATAGTTATGATGAGCAAGGGTGCCTCTTCCAAATTTGTGAAATTTATGGCACCTGGGTCAGGGGTTCTATTGTTTGAGCGGGGCTCTAATGATTATATAGTGAAAATGCATTAATTCTTTGAAAATCTTCTCAGCTCCAGTGTATTTAGCAGATAAATTAAGTACATGGTTATAATGTTCAAGAGTTTCTCTTCAAAATTTTAAAATTTGTGGTACCAGGTTCAGGTGGTAAGGTTGGGGTATTTAGATCATATAGTTAAAGTGCATTATTTCTTTGAAAATCTTCATTGCTCCTGGGTATTATGCAAACAAACTAAATGCATAGTTATGATGAGTAAGGTTGCCTCTTCCAAAATTGTGAATTTCATGGCCCCTGGGTCAGGGGTTCTGGTGTTAGGGTGGGGCTCTAATGATTATATAGTGAAAATGCATTATTTTTTTGAAAATCTTCTCCTCTGCTCCTGGATATTAAGCCGATGAACTAAGTACATAGTTATGAGGAGGAGGGGGGCCTCTTCCAAAATTGTGAATTTCATGGCCCCAGGGTCAGGGGTTCTGGTGTTAGGGCGGGGCTCTATTGATTATACATGTATATTGAAAATGCATTAATTCTTTGAAAATCTTCTTCTCTGCTCCTGGGTATTAAACAAACAAACTGAGTACATAGTTATGATAAGCAAGGATGCCTCTTCCAAAATTGTGAATTTCATGGCCCCTGGGTCAGGGGTTCTGGTGTTAGGGCGGGGCTCTATTGATTATATAGTGAAAATGCATTAATTCTTTGAAAATCTTCTCTGCTACTGGAGATTATTTAAACAAACTAAGTGCATGATTATGATAGGCAAGGGTGCCTCTTCCAAAATTGTTAAATATATGGCCTCAGAGTTGGGGGTTCTGGTGGAAGGGGGGGGGCTCTATTGATTATATAGTGAAAAAGCATTAATTCTATTAATTAATCATTATTTAATCCTGTCTGCTCCTTAGTGTTGAGCTGATAAACAAATTGCATAGCTATTTTTAATTTTTAAAACTTGTGGTCCCAGGGTCAGGGGTTCTGGCATAACGGGGGGGGGGGGGTGATTATATAGTGGAAATGTTTTAATTCTTTGAAGTGCATAGTTATGATGATGAAAGTAACTCTTCCAAATTTGTAAATTTCTTGACCCTGGATCTTGGGTTCTGGTGTTGCGTAGGGCTTTGTTGAATCTCTAGTGAAAATGCATTGTACCTGTAAATTCTTCTCTGCATATCGGAGGCAAACTGAGTAAAAGTTTTAATGATATAAGCAATGGTATTTTTACCAGATTTTTGAACATCTGGATCATTTGGTTAAGCGTTCTGGTCCTGGTCAGGGCTCTATTAATTTGTATTCTACTGAGAAAAGTTATTGCCCTTTGCCATTAGCTTTTGAAAATAATGTATTTGAAAAGTTAATAGAATTTATTAAGATAATTATGCAAGAATTTTTATTGTATAATACAAAAAAGAACTTCATATAGTTTTAAAGATCAGGTAGACGTAAATAATAGATAAATAAAAATGAGACAAAAATAACTCATCTTATTAAATGTTCTTCAAAGATCAAGAAAGGCCAATGTGAGAGGTTATTTTGTGGGGTTAGAACTAATATTTTGTTAATACTGTGCATGGTGATAGTCATAAATGAGGGACAGATTAGGACTTACTTTATAAGTTATTACTGAATACTAGATTAATTATTTCGTTGGTCCTAATCATCCTATTTCTCTTGCTTTGGGGCAACAAGACTTCATCTATCAGTTTATTTTAGCTCTTTGGATCCTCTAAATTGTTGTATTATACTCAGGTGATCGTTAAGGCCCTTGAGCCTCTTGCTATTTATCATTTCAGCTTTTTGCCCTTATCGTAAAATTTATTAGACTTACCCCTCTTTATATTCCTGGATTCATTCTTACATTAAAATTGCGGTTTTTCGGTAGACTTGTAGATATACAATCATTCCTTTCTTGTAACCGAAAGGAAAAGATTGCAGCTGTGGGTTTTACCTACCTGTCGACCCTATTTCATAGAACGCAGGGGGGAGGGGCACTATTTTTAGTATATAGTATTCCGCTATAGTAAATTTTCATTTAATTACTGGTCTCTGCACCCACCCCCCTCCCCGCACACTTTGCTGTAAGGTCGAGCACTGGCGAATTCCAGGATTTGGACAGATAAAGTTTTTTTGTGGACTTTTTTTTTGGAGACTGAACATGCTGAAATCGATTATGACTTTATTGTTAGGAAAGAAAAGGATGAAAAAAATTGCAGTATTTCTTAATTAATGTAGGCTGACTAGAGGAGGATCAGGGGAGAGCAACCAATCACAAAGCATTCAAAAATATATTTTTTTTTCTTTTTACAGTTGACTTGAAATTTTACAACCAGGGTTGCTCTACTGTAAATATTTTGAAGGCATCATCCATGGTACGTATTTTGGTACTGATTTTAAATAAAAGAGCTGCCAATTGTCATGGTCACGATTAAGTACTTTACTAATAATTGTTTTTGTAAACGGACTAATATAAATAATAAAACATTGCCTTACTGGTATGCCACATGAAATTTAATAAATAAATGCAAAGTGGATCAAATATCAGGTCAAGCTTAGTATCAATGTGGCAAATACTTACCCAAAGCCTTGGCTTTGGGTAAGTGCAGATGAAAGACTGTATAATACTACAACACATTGTGGTCAAAAAAAAAAAAAATTATGTGAAATTGACAAACACACAATGGGTGTCTCATGCATATCTGTACCCATTACTTGTTTTTCTAAATAGAGTGGCCTCCCTTTTATTTTTATCTCTAAATAACCACCCATATTGACAGGTCAGATCTTAATTTTTCCACTGTTTAATAAGGATAAGATGAGTACAGTTGAGGAACAGTTGAAGCTATACGGCTGCAATCAGGTGCGTGCAAGCTTTCGTCTATCTTTCACTTTCATTTTCTGCTAAAGAAAAGACACTCAAGAATCAATTACACAATGCTTTGTACAGCTGTTGTAAAAGCCGAAACTGGTAAGGTAGCGAACTTTTTATAGTTCCGGACAACAGAAGAAATACTTGAGTGTATTCATCACTATAAATATTTTTCTCAAAGTCTTCACCAATGAAAAAGGTGAAGATAATGAACAGTGATCGATCTCAAATCTGTGAACAGGGCATAAACCGCAGCCCTCTGGTATATCCAGAGGTAGGATCAGGTGCCTAGGAGGAGGCATCCCCTGTCGACCGGTCGCGCCCTATAGTAGACGAATATTCTGCATTCAAATTTAGTACTAGATGCTGTCATGAGACAGTAATACCCGCACTAAGGTGTTTGCCTCTAAATGCACACTCCTTCATATTGGGCTTACCAAGGAAAAAGTCCAAATAATTCTATAATTTACACAGTACATGTATTCGTCAAATCGAGCATGAAATGCTCAGGTGACCATGTGACCCATGAACCTCTTATACGCATTTCATATACTTAATTCATTACCAGTCTGAAATAATAGAATTTAATTAATGATGTAAATTAGGTTTTGATAAAAAAAGGGGGGGTATAAATTTTTGGCCCATAGTGGAACTTTTTAAATTTATTTTCTCAACAACAAATAATATTATTTTAGTACAAAGCGTTTTTGATGAATTTATCAAAATGTGCAAACTTTTTTTAGTATTTGATTAGGCAAAAACCTCCTTGAAAAGCCATACCCAATCAATTTTGTCACCCCCCCCCCCCCCCCCAACACACACACACAATTTGCCTGTTTTTGGAAATAGGCCTAGATGGCAAAGTTATGTTAAAACATCGTTTGTTATGATAATTTAAAATTTGTTCTTGTACTGTACCTGTATGTGAACACCTTTTTGAAAATTTCTACATCGCATTGGGCTTGCGTCACCCTACCAGTACTAGTACTAGTTTTACCATTATCATCTTTAGATTGCACATGGTGCATTGTTACATGTATATCAGTGGAAATTAATTCATTTTGTGTTTTAATTGGATTATATTTCATGAAGTTGACAGGACCTATGACAGTCGGTAAGTACAAGTTTAAGTATAGATTGGGGTAAAATAAACCGAAATGCAAATGGTTAGGTTAAAGTTTAAAAAGGATCAAAGATCATCGGCAATCTCCTATGCAGAGTTGTCGTTCGTTTCTCTCTCAGACACTAAATGTATGAGCCGATGGTAGAGAGTGGATCATCGAATGCCACAATAGATGAATTTCACATTCTGAAGAGTTATCTCCCGTTGTCGACATTACATTCAGTTACAGGCACACATCCAGGAATTTTTTTCCGAGGGGGGGGGGGGGGGGGTCCACACCTCAGTAAAAAAAAATTCCAGCCCAGAATTTCCTGAGGAGCAAAAAAAGAAAAACAAACAAACAAACAAAATAAAAACAATGATGGTGGGGTCCATGTTTTTAAAGGGGGAGGGCATCTGTTATTTTTTATTTGCTTCTGTAAATCAGTATATAGTCCTATTTAAATAACTCTGCAAATTCCAGGGGGGGGGGGGGGGTCCAATCTCCCTAGCCACTCCCTGTCCCTGAAATGACAAATGATCATGTGACTCCTAAATAGTAGAAAACTTTTCCATTTGACTATACATAATTTTGTTTCTTGTGTTATTATGTTATGTACATCTAATGGTTTAAGGTTATGAACCCCTGGAGGTCATCCCCACTCTCTTAATGAACTGGAAATGTTCATAATATGGCTACATCAAATTAAATAAAAGTGCATCAATGATAAGATTACTTGACATTTCATTCATGAATTTGGGTCAACCCATGTACCTCCTAGAATTAGAATGAAAATCATTCAAAGAGATGAACCATTAAACTATTTGTATATATTCACATTTTTTTTATGTCAAACCAAAGTATTAGACTAGTTTGCATACATGAACAAATAGGGGTCTGGAAAGGGGAAGGGGCGAGGGGAAGGAGTTATCTCTTTACGTCTTAATTGTTGAAAACTCCTAAAATGAATGTTAACCTCAAATCCGACTTGTACGTCTTCATTATTTTTAAGTGGTGTTGTCTCCGTATGAGTGAAAAATTCCCAAGAGGGACATTTAACAACAAACAAACATTAATGACTTAAAAAACACAATATACATGTACATGTTTATTAGTCAACGGATATACTTCTGATCATATCTCTAGTTCTCCCTTGAATCAGAAATGATGATATAAATATTTTAAGAATGATTAAGAGTTGAAAATTAAGGTTGTGCATTTTAAAATTCACTAAGCTCTGTGGTTGAATTAGCTATACCAGTTTAGCTTATTTTGCTACTCAAAGCACCTTGATTAACTATTTTTAATCATACTGTTTTCTGAAATGTGAAGTTCTTTCAACATGGATACAAGTCATACCTTTTCAGCTTCTGAAAACAATGCATGAAAAAAACTGCTTTTCAAATACTGTAACTCTTTCCAAGTACTTGTGATCATCAGTTTTTAGCTCACTTGAGTTTTTCTGGTTTTCTGATCACATTTTGTTTGTCATCCATCTCTCCGCCTGTAAACTTTTCACATTTTTGTCTTCTTCACTAGAACCGCTGGGCCAATTTCAACCAACCCTGCCACAAAGCATCTTCGGATAAAGGGGATTCAAGTTTGTTCAAGTGAAGGGTCACACCCTCTTTCAAGGGGGGATAATCAAGAATTAGTGAAAATGTGGTGGTATCATTTTAAAAAAGTCTTATCAAGAACCACTGACTGGGCCCAAAAAGTTGAAACTTTCTTTACATAGACTTAGTGTAGCTTCAAATTTGTTCAAATTATGACCCACTGGGGTAGGGTGGGGCCACATATGGGGATCCAATGATTTACATAGAAAAATGCAGGGGATTTTTTCCATCATAAATCTTCTTCTCATGAACAGCAAGGGCATTATTGTCATCCGTTTTCGCAAAAGGGACCTAAGGGACATTAAATCTCATTTGTCTGTCAGTCTGTCTGTCTGTCACAATAAATTTAACCTTGGTCATAACTTCTGAATAATAAGAGATAGGGCTTTCATATTTCACATGTACATTACCTACAAGAACTTTCTAAACATACCATGATTTTTGAACCTATGACCTTGACCTTGAAGTTTGACCTACTTTTCAAAATATTTAACATTATTTTAAATTGATCATTTTGAAAGAGAAAAGATAGGGCATTGAATTCATATTATACATGTATATTACCTGTGACAAGACCTTTCTAAATGTATCATGACTTTTGACTCTGTGACTTTGACCTTGAAGTTTAACCTACTTTTCAAAAATGTTATATTTTCTTATAACTTGAGAAGAGATAGTACTTTTATATTTGACATGTACATTACCTGTAACAAGATGTTTCCAAGCATGCTATGATTTTTTTAACCCTTGACCTTGATGTTTTACCTGATTTTTAAAAATTTTAACTTTGGTGATTACTTTTGAATGACATATGATAGGGCGTGCATATTTGAAACAATATGTCATAAATAATGGCATCCCATCCACTAGGACACGGAAAGCAGGGGACCACAATTCTTTGAATTGGCTTGTTTGTCATTTTGATATGGAAACATCCTCATACAGTGTAGATTCAAGTTTTTTATGCCCTGCCATGAATATGGCCGAGGCATATAGTGTTTGTCATGTCCGACTTCAATAAAACATCATATGCTGATACATACTGATGTAAACTTTTCAACTGCATCAACCTTTTTGACCTTGACTTTTCCTTTGACCTTGACCTTACTTTTCTTAAATTAGTGTCTAGATCAGTTTGAAAAAACAATTCAAGATATATTTATCAAACTTCATATGCTGATATATACTGCTGAGAGCTATCAATTGCATCAACTTTTTTGACCTTGACTTTTCCTTTGACCTTGACCTCACTTTAAATTAGTGTTTATCTACATTTTAAATAAACCATTTATGATATTTTTATCAAACTTCATATGCTAAAAGTAAATACATACTGATATAAGCCTTTCAACTGCATCAGCATGTTGACCTCAACCTTTCCTTTGACCTTGACCTCTCTTTTCTCAAATAAGTGTTAAGCTCAGTTTTAAATAAATCATTTAAGATATTTTTATCAAACCTAATATGCTGATATGTATTAGTGAGAGCATCAAAAACTTTTCACCTTGCACTTTCCTGTGACCTTGACCTCCCTTCTCTTTAATTTGTTTTTGCTTAGTTTTAAAGAAACAATCTAAGATATATTTATGTAAGCAAGCACTTATACATAATTTTGTGAGAATTTATCATCTATATCCATTTTTTTTAGATTTTAGTTTCAATTTTAAAGAAACTGTTCAAGATATTCTCATCAAACTTCATACACTCATACAAATTTTCATGTTGCATTAATAATATACATTCGGTGAGGCATTTATGTCCTATGGACATATTTCTAGTTTTCAAATCATGACCTCAGAGTATTGGGTCAGGCCACGATAAGGGATCAAAGTTTTATAGAGGAATAAAAGGAAAAAAAATCTTCAAAATTCTTCTTTTTAAGAACAACAAAAGCATGATTAATATGGAAACATTCCCAAGAAGTGTAGATTCAAGTTT